GGACCTGGCCAGAGTCTTTATAAAGGAGGCGATGCAGGTGGCGATACAAAAACTCTCCGCTGCTAGGCACCATGAGGATACTGACTCAAGAGCCCTCATCAGAGCCATTTCTCTGCGCCGCCACGCATGGCTACGGAACTGTTTCCTGATGAAATGAAGAGGAGGATCGAGGAAATGCCGTTTGACGGCACCGGACTTTTCCACCAGAAGACCGACCATAAGCTGAAGTCAGTCCATGAATCGTGCATGACTGCATGCCGCATGGAGCTGCCTCAGCAAAAACGTAAGTGGCAATGGTCTCGACCCTCCTACCGCCAGCAATATCTGCCTCGACAGCAGTACCAGCACCAACAGCAACATAGAAGGCAGCAACCGCAGCAACTCTTCTCTCAGGGCCGTCGACGCTTCGACACCGAGAAGCGCCAGCGTTGATGGTCTGGGCGGACCATTCTCTCTCTCCACCCTCCCCTCTCCCTTTTGGGGACCAGCTCCAAAGCCAACTCCCCATTTGGGAGTCCATTCCATCTGATAGATGGCTGTTGACCATCATTCAGCTTGGATATAGGATAGAATTCGATGTCATTCCTCTGTCGAGTCCGATTCGTTTTACACCCTGTTCTTCGGTAATATGAGACGAAGTCTACCAGCTACTTCGTAAAGGAGTGATTTGACAGCTTTCCCGCTCTGATGGATTGCATGGATTCTATTCTAGATATTTTACAGTCCCAAAAAGGGACGGTGGTCTTCGTCCAATCCTGGACTTGCGAAATGTTAATAGGTACATCAAACCTAAAAAGTTTTGGATGACCACCTTACAGAATATCTTTCCGTTGCTGAGGAGAGAGGATTTGTTCGCCTCACTAGACTTGAAGGATGCTTATTTTCATGTTTCCATCCATCCTTCTCACAGACACTTTCTACGTTTCACTGTCGGATCCGATATATTCGAGTTCAATGTTTTGCCTTTCGGCCTGGCTACTGCCCCTAGAGTTTTCATGAAGTGTATGGCTCCAGTGTGCGCACACTTACGGACTCAGGGCATACAAATATACCCATATTTGGACGATTGGCTCATTGTGTCGCAGACTAGACAAGACCTTCTCCTAGCTGTGCACAAGACTTGCGCTCTACTTGATGATCTTGGACTTTGCATTAACCGTAAAAAATCGTGCCTTGTTCCCATGCAGGTGATCGACTTCATCGAAGTATGCATCGATTCTACTCAGGAATGAGCTTTCCTTCCTCCGAACCATCGGGACACTCTCTGCGACCATATTTACCAAATCCAGCTGTACAAAACGGTACCAGCCATTACCATCCAAAGACTATTGGGACACATGGCTTCTGCGGTTGCCATTGTTCTGTACGCCAGACTGCGTCTGTGACCCATACAACTGTTTTTCAACAGATCATTTTGCCCACAGCAGGACTCTCCCACCAAGCTGATCCGGATTCCACTGCCGATCCTACGTACTTTGACTTGGTGTACTGTTCCAGACAACCTGTCTATCGGCGTTCCATTCTGACTGCCTCAACCAACAACAACCCTGTATACTGACACTTCTCTGCTCGGATGGGGTGCGGCATGCTCAGGACTTCGGGTCCAAGGGACTTGGAACTGGAGAGAAGCAACAAGACATAACTTCCTCGAACTTCTGGCGATTTTCAACGCTCTCAAATCCTTTGAGACTGTACTTTGTCACCAAGTTGTCCAGATTGCGTCGGACAAGATCACTGCTGTTTTTTACATCAACAAGCAAGGCGGAACAAAGTCACCAACCTTAGCCCACCTATCGATGGAAATTTGGGACTGGTGTATCCTGAGAGGCATACTACTGCTAGCGGTTCACCTGGCAGGAACTGACAACATAGAAGTGGATACGCTGAGCAGGCAGATGTCAACAACCCACAAATGGGAGTTGGACAGCCAAATTTGCGAACACCTCTTCCGTTCATGGGGTTATCCGGACATGGACTTGTTCGCTACCTGAGACAACAGGGTATGCAATTGGTATTGTTCAAGAGCGGGTATCGGATTGGGATCGATGGGAGATGCTCTCATGATCCCTTGGGACAATCTGACTTTCTATGCGTTCCTTCCGATCCCACTTCTAATGAGAGTGGCATTGAAATAGTTCAGGACAACGCCACAGGAATATTAATAACTCCATGATGGCTGAGACAACCATGATTTACCACTCCCCTTCGACTATCCAGAGGGATGTTCCTTCGACTTCCAACAATTCCTCACTTGTTAACACAGCAGAACGCAGCAATCAGACATCTGGATTTGGCCTCATTGAAGCTGACCGCCTGGTGCATCAGCTAAACCATGCGACTGACTCGATACCAAAGACATCTCAGGTACCGGAGGATCTGGTTCAACAAACTGTGCAAATGACTCCTACCTCGAATTCGACTACAGCCGCTTTGGTACCGACAGCTTTTGATAGAGAAATTCAAGCGATTCTCAAATCTGCTTTAAGACAGTCCATCCGTCGGTCTTATGTGGCAAAATGGAAGAGATTCTCAGCTTTTGCTGAATGCCATTCTTTTCCTCCTGGGATGGCTTCGATTGAGAACATTTTACAATTCTTCCTGGAACTGTACCACTCCGGACTTAAACCATCATCCATTAAAGTTTACGCAGCTGCCATATCACATTATCGCGGTGCTGTACAAGGCTCATCGGTCTTCTCTCAACCTCTAGTTCAGCGCTTTATTAGGGGATGACAGAATTTGCATCCCTCCATTCGCCCTGCTATGCCGACATGGAGCCTTTCTGTAGTACTTCAGGCGCTTACAAAACCTCCGTTCGAACCTCTGGCGACTGTTGATCTGCACCTTGTTTCTTGGAAAACGGCCTTCCTTATAGCAGTCACATCAGCTCGGAGAGCTAGCGAACTTTGTGCTCTTCTAATAGACTCACCGTATCTGAATTTCCATAAGGAAAAGGTCGTTCTCTGGATGGACTCATCGTTCCTGCCTAAGGTGGCTATGCCGTTCCACATGAGCCAGGAGATTGTTTTGCCTGCATTTTTTCCATCGCCTTCGAATCCGGTAGAGCGATCCCTTCACACTCTCAATGTTCGACGTTGTTTGGCTTTTTACATATCTCGTACTGAACCCTTTCCTCGTTCTAATAGACTTTTCATTAAGTATGCCGAGCATGACAAAGGGTCCCCAGTCACATCTCAGAGACTCTCTAAATGGATTGTCAAAACTATCATCTTGGCATACCAGCTAGCAAAATTAGACTTACCTGTATTTCCAAGAGGGCATTCTACATGAGCAGTAGCGACTTTGTCTGCCTTTGCCGTGGGGGTTCCACTTCAAGATATTTGCAGAGCTGCAACATGGGCTGCCCCATGCACTTTTGCCAAACGTTATTGGCTGGATGTCCATGCCAGACAGGACTGCTCCTTTGGCAGGGCAGTTCTCTCATCTATTCTTTGCTGACGACACCTCCCTCCTCTGAGACTGGTAAGCTTGCTAATCACCCATATGTGTGATGCACAGAGGCCACGACGAAGAAAAGCAGGTTGCTTACCTGTAACTGATGTTCTTCGAGTGGCCATCTGTGCATTCACACAACCCACCCACCGGCCCCGCTCGGTGTCAGTGAGTGGATGTTTTTCCTTGGTACCATAATTTTCGGTACTGTTCACGCTGTCATATGCTGTCAACCTCAAGGGGGCGAACGTTCAGTCTTCAAGACTGAGTAAAATGGCGGACACTCCGCCCTATTTATACCACTGAGGGGGCGGAGAGCGGAGTTTTCCCACCAAAAACTGTTAGCTTTCTAATCTTCCGGCCTAGGCATTGCGCAGGCGCAGCACCCATATGTGTGAATGCACAGATGGCCACTCGAAGAACATCAGTTACAGGTAAGCAACCTGCTTTTTTCTCTCTCTTCCCCTCCTGATAAAGCAGGATTCTCCAGCCTAATATTTTGTACTGCAACTACAGTATTCCTGACTTGTTGACCATGCTGATGGGAAGGCTGCCCTTCTGTGTATCTGTCTGCATATCTTCAGATTCCCAGCTTTCAGACAATGATATTTTGACCTGGGTGTGTGTGGTGGTGTGTGTGTATAATGCCAGTTTATGAATAGTCAGGGTTGCATAGGAGCAAAGAAGCATGTTGCATCCTATGTGCCTCTTCTGTTTTGCATCAGCGTTCCAAAAAACCCAGGAATGCCTATTCCAGCCTGTTACTGATTACATCCAATAACAGCACACTGGCTTGTTAAGAATTTCAACCCAACAGTGGACCATAGAGTCAAATTCTTCCAGGCTGCAACAACCCATGGATTAAGCAACCCAGGGGTTCAAATTACATGCCCTTTTCCATAGAGTGGCAAGTACTTAAATAAGAATGGAAACCAACAGTTAGTGAACAGATAAACATGTTTATTCCTTTGGAGGTGGGGTTGTACCCTATTATGTAGTGAGACTCTTATTATGTAGTGAGGGTGGGAAAGGGTTTTGATTGATCCCATGGTGTTAGATTCCAATCTATGGACTAAGTCACTTGTTTGTTTTAACACTTGAAGTGTGTTCACCAGGATTTGAACAAGTGTCATTCCTTCTCAGATTGTTTGAATATGAACTATTGGAACTTTCTAAACATTTTGAATATTAGGATTGTTGCTGGGGAAAGTGTGATATTGGATTTCAGTGTCCATCATCCCTTGCCACTGATTATGTTAACTTGGGTTGCAGTTGCAGTTCAATGCCTTGGGAGTCAGATATTCCCTATTCCTGGTTTAGTTATAGAAGAAATTTTAATGCTTAATTTCTGTGGATTTGTTTTTGATCCTAGCTAAGAACACATTACACATTTTTCTGAGTGGGACTTAGGATTAGTATATGCTGTGTTAATAAATTCTCATAACTCCCCTGAGTTGTTGGGGTATATCATGTCAAGTTAATATTTTTTAGTATATTAACATCAGTGTAGTTTTAAGGTGCACTCTGATTTGTAAATCTTATTTTAGGTTTTCCAGTAGTTACAAGCCTGAGGTGAGTGTCTTATGTATTATATTTGAATATGAGAACTAAATTTAATATGCCATTATCTTACTTGTTCTACTTTATACATATTAAATGAGAACTTTTGCTAGGGTTTAATAAAAGTTCTTTTACCAGCAGCCCCACCCCATCCCAATTAATTGTTTAGGTGGGGCTTACGACCTTCTGGCGAAACTGTTGGAGGTTGCAGTGACTGTGCAGGAGGGGGCGATGTCAAGATTTCCTTCTGTGAATTTAAGTTGACTTATATTAGGATACAAACCTTGCTTTTTCACGGTTGGAAAATATGTAGCCCTTTCTTTGAGCATTCTCCTGTCTACTCTTTCCTTGGGTTAATCAGATACTTGTGGTGGCATGATAATATCACTTTGCCTACCATGTGAAACAGTTGTTTTCACCTCTTTCATGTGACTCTCAGATATGTTCTGGAGATGTAGCAGTATATTTTCTAAACTTGGGGGATTTCTTTTTTCTGCTAGAAAGCTTCCCATCTTCATAGTTCATCCTCCCCAGTAGACCTTTGCCTGGGGAAAATGGATAATAGCGCTTTTATGACCCTTATGTTGCCACGCAGACTGTCTCTGTCTTGGAAAGTAAACCGTCAGTCAGTCAGTTTCTGTCCAGTTTTGTGTAGAATAGCATAGGATATCTGGGTTGGATCCAGGAATATGTTCTGCTCACAGGCAGGCTGGCAATCCTGGGGGCTCATGGGAAAGGGTGCAAAGCAATTTCTCATAGTTGCCTAGGCCTCCCCACCCCCACTCCCCCAAAATAACTCCAGGACTTGGAAGAACCATCCAGAACAGTGAGGAATGTTGGCAGAAGAGGATCCAGGATGAAGGGGAACCAGCTCCCTTCAAGCAGACAGGCACTCTAGATTCAGTCTTCTATCATTTCACTTTGAGACTTTTTGTTTTCAGTGTACAACTTTGCTTTCTTACAGAATGATCCAGTTCTGAGACAGAAAGCTCTGGAGTATATGGTAAGGCAAATGTTTTTCACCTATGAGAAAGTATTATATGGCGGCAAAATGGATACTTTGGAGGCAGTACTTACAAAAAATAACTATTATTATTTTTCCACATAGAAAATACAACTCACTGAACTGGTGACTGAAAAACACTGTCTCAGATTAGTGTGAAACTAGTTTGACTAGTTTTTTGTGTTGATTAGAATGTAATTCTTGTGGATTTTCTGCAGGATTGCAATCTAAGTACATCCAGCTGAAATCAGTGGGATGTGCCACTTAATAAACATGACTAGGAACAGAATGAAAATAATTTCTATTTTCAAGGGTATGTTATAAGGACTTCCCATTGCATGTCTTTTTCCTTAGTTGGCTAAAAACAAAATAAAGTTGTAAGAAAATAGTGGTTCTGTTTTTCCTACCCATGATGACCCTGTGTGAGATACTGCATTAACTATTAAATGCAGAGCTGGCACTGGGAAGTGAAAATGTTTTAAAGAAACCAGTGCAGAATGAAATTACTTCTATGTCAACACTCAATTGTTAAATATTTGACAGGAGAATTTCGAGATAACATCAGACAAAGAAGCAACTCAAGTGATAAGCATTGCACAGTCCTTGTCAGAAGCTTTGAAGGCCTTTTGTGAAAAGAAAGCAGCAGTAAGTAAGCTTTTTTAAGTAATCAGTGCCAGTCATTTTATTGCAAAATTTCAGATATTTTTCAGGTTGACAGCATCTTAAGATTGTTTCAATTACTTCTCTCTTCTGCTTGTAAAGTGCATAGTAATCCTATATTAAGAGCAGTGGTGCTTATATCAAATGTGGTTTTTTTAAAAAAGATTGTCTCCACCTTTGCTTCTATCCATGTTTATTTTTGGTAAATTATATAACGTAATTGTACTTAACAGTTAATTACATAACTGTTTTGCAGCTTCTTTTGCTTTATTACTTTAGTCTATAGGCATACTAAGCAGAGTGATTTGCAGTAGATAGGCAAATAGACTCTTAGTCATTTAACAATAGCAAAAACTGCAAAAAATAGACTGCAGAAAGGAACAGAAGAACTGTGTGAAGTAATTTGTGACCTCAGTAGATATGAAATGTTGATAGACGAAATTATAATTTTTGAAATGCAGTATTTTAAAGCTATTCTCTCCTTTCTGAAATGCCTTTATAGGTTGCAGGCTCTGAGTCTTTATGGCTTTAAGAACAGTCCATCTAACACCAACCTTCAAACATTGGTTGGTGTTAGATGGACAGTTCTTAAAGCCACAAACAGCAAAGCAAATTAAGATAAGCCTTTTGCTACAGATCCTCCATTTTACCCCAGTGGATTCTCCTTTTGAAAACTTCAGTGTAAGGCCTCAAAGTTGTTTTTTGTTTTTCTAGCTCAAGCATATAAGAAGTCTTCCATCATTGCTGCCACCAGGAATAAAAATTGTAAAACCACATAAACCATTGGCAAGTTGCAAGGATAATCCAGGTATTTTCAGATGTCTTCAGTAAAACAATAATGGAGAAATAAATACCTTAAGTCAGTGACTCAGTGACTTGCATTTGAAATTCTCCACATCTTTTCTAGATGTTGCTAAGTTAGGTACATCTAGAAAAGTTTTTGGCTGTATCACAGCTCATTTATTTTTATCATTGATGTATTTAACACTTGCACTCTTAAAGTTGTGTCTTTTCTCCTCTGTAGAGGTGCACTTTTACATGCAACAGCCCCCTCAACTGCAAGGTTGACCTCACACACACACACTAATGGCATGTGTGGAGACACACAAAGTACCTCAAGTTGCAACTGGTGCTGTAAAGCAGCAGTTTCCAGTGCTTTTCCAGTAAAGCATGAGCATCCCCTTTCCTTGCTGTGAAGATACTTCACATATTGCACTTAACTGCCTCTTTTCCTACCACTTTAAAGGAGGTGAACAGCAGTGCAGTCTGCAGAACTGCAACCAAATGTACCTAGGTAGGCACAATCCTACCCCTTACTGATACTGATTTCTTAAACCTTACTTGGTCCGTGATTGTAGTTCAAGTGTAATACAGTGTAAAATGGGTCATCATGGGGCAATTTCTATTTTCAGAGTTTTGTGAAAGTTTACTGAGATTATTTCCTGGTAACTTAAATATTGGAATGTCTCCATGCAAACTCCTCTTACGGCAATGGAAACATGACAACATAAGAAAAGTAATCCTCAGTCAGACCAGTGGTCCATCTAGTCCAGCAGTTTGTGCACACAGAGGCAAACCAGCTGCTCAAGACCTCCCGCTGCATAAGCGCCTCAGTAACTGGTGAATGTAGGTAGCATATAGCCAGCAAGGTATAGGCCATGGATAGTCTCTTCCTCCATGAATCTGTCCAATCCCCTTTTAAAGCCATCCAAATTGACAACCATCACCACTTCCTGTGCCAGTGAATTCCATGTTTTCACTATACATCATGTGAAGAAGCACTTCCTTTTATCTCTACTAAACGTCTCACCAGTCAGCTTCATGGGATGACCCTGGGCTTGAGCATTGTGGAAGAGAGAAAAGAATGTCTCTTCACACTATGCATTATTTTAAACACTTCTGTCTTGTCTCCCTGTACTTGCCTTTGTTCAAAGCTAGTACAGTCCCAATTGTTCCAGCTGCTTCTCATAAGGGCATTGTTCCAGTTACTTAATCATTTTCTTTGCCCTTCTCGGGAAATATCTTTTCCAACTCCATACTGACCTTTTTCAGAACTGTACACAATATTTTAAGAATGTTTGCACCAAGGATTTGTATTACAGTCTTTTCTGTTCTGTTCCTAATTATGCATAACAGGGAGTTTTTCTTTTTTTCAACAGCTGCTCACTGGGTTAAGATTTTCATTGAGCTGTCCACCACTCCAAGATCCCTTTCCTGGTCAACCACTGATAGTTCAGATCCCATTAGCCTATACTTGAAACTGAGACTTTTTGCCCCAGTATGCATTACTTTACACTTGCTTACCTTGAACTGGGGGCAAAAATATGCATTACTTTATACATGCATTTGCCATTTTGATGCCCATTTGATGCTAGGAGAGATAAAAGTATTTATGTGGGACATAATGAAGTTTTGAGTTCAGTCACTTATTTGAACCAGCTTTTTCCATGCTGAGTTCAATCAACTTTGCTATATAGTCAGTTATTCATAATGTTGTGTGCTTCTCGTCTATTGTTTATTCCAGAGTAGCAGTGCTTTGCAGCTAAAGAATGTAGTTAATCATGGCACACTGGTGATTAAGTCTAAATTTATTGAACTATATGTTACTGTATACTTATTGAACTCAGCCTGGTGGCCATTGCATTTTTGTTAGTGTCCAAAGATGAAGCAAAGTAATACACTCAGGTTCAGTTGGATTTATTGTACTGCTTCTCTGAATAGAAAGTTAAAATGACTTTTTGTTAAGTCAGTGGATGAGGATTCAAAAAAGTTCCCACTGAGAAAGGTCCCACAACTGTGTCATGAAATAGGTTGGATCCTGATGTAGTGTAGATCCACTGAAATAATGGACTAAGGTAGTCATGAGTAATACAAGACCTATTCATTTCAGTGAGTCTACTGGTTGAATGAACTTGAATCGATCCATTCTATTGTGAGAATTTTATTTTTAAAGTCAGAGTACCTATTGCATTTCTGTGGCCATGCTGCTGTGGTCATCCCTCCTCTAACTATTAATCAGCCTTCATGGGACATGTTCTTTCACATGCTATGTTATTGGTCCCAGTTACGTTCAGCCAAGGTACCTGCTTTTAAAGGAGTTCCATCCAAAAGTGTGACTCACAGAAAAAGACTATGATCTCATCTTAGGCCAGGTAGAAGTTTCTGTGCCTGAAAAGTACTGACTTAAGTTTACCGGAAATTCTCATGTCATTTGGAATTCACAGTAAGAATAGCATTTTGTCAGATCTTTCAGCTGTTTTGTTTTTCCAGCAGACAATTGCCAAGAAGGACATCAGTCTAATGGACTTGCACAGTTAAAGTCCTTTCTACAGCATGAACCAAGCACGTCACACACCCCTGTGGATTCATATATTTGCCAAATGAAAGGAAAATCCTCTTCACATGGCATTTCTTCTAAAGATCTTGCAACAGTGTCTGCCCTGGAGAGTTCATTTGCCCTTCAGCAAGGAGGCTTTAGTCATGGACTCAATGAGTGGATGAAACAATTCAACCAGTCTGCTTCTGATTACTTACAATCAACTCCAGCCAAAGAAGAATCTCCCTATTTTGCATCATCACAAAGCAAATATACAGCACAACACTGCCAGGAAGATAGCAGTCAATTACCTGAGAATAAAATGACAGACAGGAGAGCAAGAAACTGGGATAGTAGGAGAGCATCACTAGACTCAAAAGCATATTCTGTCACCTCTAATTCATACTCTTCTTCAAGAAGTTATCAAACAGATAGCCCTTTACAGAAAACACCCCCATGGTATCACAACAGGTCTGGGAAAGGTAATTGTGTGTTTACATCGTCCTTGTCTTCAGACAGCAGTGGACCTGCTTGGCCACAGCAATCTGTCTACCAACAGTCAAGCCTTGAAGACAATATGGAGCCATGCCCATCCATTTCTGGTGATAGTTCATACAGTGATTACCAGCTACAGAAAGCACAGCTAAATAACATATTGAGTGGAAGTAGTAAAGGCTTTTCTGATGACATTCTGAGTCAGCTTCGAGGAAAGGATGCAGCTACATTGACAAGAATGCTTCAGCGGCTACTTCCTTTTTATCCAGATCTTCAAAGTAAGTACATGTAGCTGTCCTGACCTCTTTTAACATAAAAGAAACCAGATAATATAGATTGAGTGCCTTAGATACCTATACCATACCTGTACGTGGTCAGAAAACCGTGAGTTTGATAGCCTTATCAGAAGCTGGGTGTTGTAAATGGAAGAAAGGAACCAAGCACATTCATTGGCAAAGCTAAGCACACTTTTGTTGATTATGTGCAGTCTCTACTCAGTAACAATAGAGCCGGTACACATTGGGAAATGCTGTATAGCTGCTTTGTAAATTAAATTGGTGACACATATGCTGTTGAGACTGTATATTGAACAAGGGTTAATGATGGTTATTTATACCTTTGCTCACTCATTGCAGCATTCTGCAATGTGGTATACTTGTTTTTTGACAGCAGCTCCCATTATTCTGGCCCTTGCTTGTGTTGACTGAGCTTGACAGCAGTTGTAGTCATGCTAGAAAGCTGTACAAGTCTTAGCCACCACCAGGAGCACAAGGCAAAATATAAAATATCAATTGCTTTGGGGAATGCTGTCCAATAGGGACAACACCATACTTTGGACCAAAGTTCTATTATAAAATTCTGTAAATTTTGATAGTTGATTGGATGGAAAGTTTGTAAACAGGAATAAAGTTGACTACCCTCATCCATTATTTAAATAAAAGTCCTAATTTAATGACATTTTTATTGCTGTTGTACTAGATCCTGTTTAATACAGCAGTTATCAACTGACTGCTTCAGAATTACAAGTGTATTTCTAAAATGCATGAATGTGGAAGAAAAACCATGTGGAACATGTTTGTCTGTTTTTGAACATTAACCAAGTCTTTTTGTTATGTCTCAAGCATTCTAACAACCCTGCCCTATATTGTGCTCAGTTTCATGGCCCAGTTAGTGTCTGAGCATCATCATTTTGAGAACTGTGGAATGGATGGTAGAGCAGAAAAGTTGATGGAAGGTTAATTAAGTTGGTCAGAGGGAAAATGCAATCTAGTATCCAATTCTTCTCCAAACTAAGTTCATCTATTCTTATGTATCTCTTGAAATGTGCTAAAATCGCTTTTTTTGCCATTTATAAGCTCTGTTAACCTGACACAAGTTTTTCTTCTCCTCTAGAAATTAATATTCGTGCATTAGCTCAAGCTTTGAGTGAAATAAATTAAGAATGACTTGGAAGCCAACAGCTTTACCATACCAGGAAGCTACTCAGTAAAAGTACATCTTGCTTCTAAAGACTACCTACCCAAACATAGTTTGTACAGCATTTGAAAAGTATTGTAGAGGTAAATATACTACAATGTTTAGAATTTCTGAAATGTATCAGAAGCATTGTGAACATTAATTTTTGTTGTATGATAATATTATATCACATTCCTTGAGGCTTCAACACTTGTTATTTCTATTAAACACAGTTCACTTAATACAAGGATGCTTGACAGTATTCTATGAAAAACAAAGTGTTTGGGACTCTGAATATTTTACATTAGACATCTTCCTTTGAGTTATCCTTCATATATGTTGGAGTTAGTATACAATAAGTCACTGCCTACAGGTACTTTGTAAAAAAAATCTTTGTAACAAAAGGGTAACAAAGCTATCTATATGGTTGTTTGAAATGCATCTATTATACTCTTGAATATCATACACCAGTTTCCAGCTATGAAGAACTTCACTTCCATTACTTACTTCAAACAGGAGACAAGTTATTTCTGTTTAGAATAAGATTTTCAATCTGCTGTAAAACTTTGGAGAGGGCAAAATCTTTCTACAGCAAAGGTAATAAAATGCACTGCTTCTAAACAACTACCAAAAAAATATATTACTGTTAGGTACATACAAGAGATTGTATGGACAGATACTCAGTTTTCATGGAAGTCATCACCCACATCAACCAAGGAAGTTCAGATGACATACATAATTTGCAACTTTTTAAATAGTTCTATTTACATATATTACATGACAGCAATCTTGTTGACCATATGCAGTACATCAAGGTCTATAATCAAATCCAGTTTCCAGGTATGTGGTATGACACAAAGGAAGGATAAGGCAGGGGTGCATGAGGATAGTAAGTAAAAGTTTGGTTTGCGCTAAAACTGATCCAACCTTTTAGTTTACTACCTTGCAAAGTTAAGATAGTGTTTTCACCCAAGGCATTTCAAGCACTACAGCAGCCTATAGATAAAATCATAAACCCCAGCCTTCTCTCTGCATCTTGTGTGTGGAGGAAGATTAGGAATCACTATGTGGTCATACTACACTTCTACAGCTATAGGAATTGTCCACAGCTCCACACTGGAGATAGAGGCTAGGTTCAGTGGTACATTGGCTCATGAACTTAATCCGTTCCACGACTCTGCTCATGACCCAAATTGGTCATGAGCCAAGTCAAATTTCCCCATAAGGTTCAATGTAAATAAGGTTAATCCATTTTGTAACTATTTTTTTAATCACAAAAATTTGAAGCAAAGTGACAACAACAAAGATTGCGGCCATCTCCCCCCCCCCCCACGCATTACCATGATCATGCCCATGTTCCCTGCATGAGCACGGGCACAGACAGGTGCAGTTGTGCTTGCAGTCGGGCAAGGACGACGGGTGCAGTTGCAACCATCTCTCCCACCCTGCGAGCACAACCGTGGCCATCTCCCCCTCGGAGCACGACCGCGATTGCACCCGGGCAGGGAAGATGGGCACGATTGCAATCGTCACCCGATGCAGAGTTCATGACCTGAGGCAATTTTTTTCCCAAAATTTCTGTTTGCAATCCAGCTTGGTCGTGAACTGAGGTGTTCATGAGCCAACGAAACAGACAGAGCTATGGAGCCCTTTGGTAAATCTGTGTGCATGCCTGAGTACAATACATGAAGCAGCCCCAAAAGATGAAAAATAGGGGAGTAAAAGAAATGATGAGAACTTGTACAGAATGCAGTCTCTCCCAGAAGGTAAGAATTCACAACAGTTGTGTGTTGTGTTATTCGTGAAGTCATGCCCAACCCATCAGTGCCCCATGGAAAACATTCCTCCAGGCACTCCTATCCTCCACCATCCCCCGAAGTCCACTTAAGCTCACACCGACTGCTTCAGTGACTCCATCAAGCCACCTCATTCTCTCCCACCCCCTTATTCTTTTGCCGTCAATTGTTCCCAGCATTAGGCTCTTCTCCAGGGAGTCCTTCCTTCTCATTAGGTGGCCAAAATATTTGAGTTTCATCTTCAGTATCTGGCCTTCTAAAGAGCAGTCAGGGTTGATCGCTTAAGACTGACTGGTTTGATCTCCTTGCAGCCCAAGGGACTCACAGGAGTCTTCTCCAGCACCACAATTCAAAGGCCTCAATTCTTCGGCACTCAGCCTTCTTTATGGTTCAACGTTCACAGCCATACATTACTGTGAATGTATACAACTAGGAAAACCATAGCCTTGACTATATGCACTTTTGTCGGCAGGGTGGTATCTCTGCTTTTTAGTCTGCTGTCTAGATTTGCCATTGCTTTCCTCCCAAGGAGCAAGCATTTTTTAATTTCTTGGCTGCAGTCCCCACTTGCAGTGATCTTGGAGCCCAGGAAAATAAAATCTGTCACTACTAACATTTCTTCCGTATCTATTTGCCAGGAAGTGATAGGACCAGATGCTACTAATCATGATCTTAGTTTTCTTGAAGTTGAGTTTCAAGCCAACTTTTGCACTCTCCTCTTTCACCCACATCAAGAAGCTCTTTAGTTTCTCTTCAGAACTTCACAACAGTACAACTAAACAATTATCTGCATTTCAAGCCATAATATGTATGTTATATGCATATAAAGAACACAGTACACAATTGTAGCTTGCTTTTTTTATATTCTCAGTAAAAAAAAAAATAAGGCACATGCAAGAGTATAAATCTGAATGAGTGTTATTTCTATATGGCATTTAAATTTCACATATTGCCAGCAACCTAATATACACAATGCAGTATTGAATTCTGTAGCAGCTGCTGCTATGGCCATAGTTAGTAGATTCTGTAAATGTAAGATGGTTCTCAACCTCATTTATAAATTGGCAACTGTAGTCCATTGTTTAATGTCATACAATACTGAAAACCATGGAAAGGTACTGTTCATAAGACACTTGGATCCAGCCATCTTGATCAGTATCATAGCGTCTGAAGACATCCGTCCATTTCTGAAAACAAGAATAAGTTATATGTAACTCTTATCCTAGACAAAATTCTACCAGTAAAATCTGTTTGCTACTGTTCATTATTAGGGTTCAACCATTAGTTGGGTTATTTTAATTTATAATCTAAATCAAGGCTGGGGGACTTTTGCTTATGGAAGGCTCTTGACCAACAGGAAAGTCAACTGAGTGGGGGAATATCCCATTCCTTTTCTTTCAGACTCTCTTCTCACTTACTGGTTAGTCATCAGATCACTACCCTACTTAAAAGAGCAAAGTCATGAAAAGCCTCCATCTTTTTCCAGCTCATATCCCAGCAAGGAACTGTGGAATCATACTGGGTGTCTCTATCTCTATAGAAGACAGTTGCATAGGTGTAGCGAATGCCTTCAGGAAGAGAAATCAAAATTGCTGGGCACAAAGCAACTGACATATAGGTGTTACTTATATCTAATGTTCCCTAAATCTAGTCTTGCCCAACAGGCCAAATGGAAAGAGAATCCTGTGAAGACTTTCTCTGGAGGCATTTGTGGTTAGGCTGCAACTATACAGTAAATGAAGCACCATTACTTAATTGCAACTACCATAAGCTGGATTCAACCTAGTATATTGCCTTCTGCTTGCTTTTGTCGGCCACATAAGAGAAAACTGTTAAGTCGCAAAAGGTGGTTCTCAGATCCAATTTCACTGCACCCCTTGCTTCTCTCTTTCCTTTTCCCTCACACACACACATGCAGGCACACAATTTTCAAGACTATACTTCAAATGCATTGAACAATCAAAAGACTGAATAGCAGCAGTTGCTTGCAATAATAGGATCATGTGTTTCATAATGAAAACTCGCCTTGGGGAACATTCCTTATTTCTGTTGGCAGCAGTATGCATTAGTCTGGGAAGATTCCTTTCCTGACAGCTTCCTGGTTAGTACCATGCTGGGATTGTACCCTAACACAAGGACTGGCACCATCATAAAGGTTGGGTATCTTCCAAGAAAGTAGACCCCCACAGGAAGCATCAATGCAGAGGACAACATTCAAGAAGTATAAGGTACTGGAATGCTGCCAGTACTGGGGGCAGGGGCATTACATTCCACTGGGCTATGGAAGTATCATCTCTAGGCTTTTATGTTAAATTTAATTTGACCTGGCATCTCTAAACCATAGCTACTCAGTATCCCTGTTTATTATTACCTGCAGGACAACACAGCATTGAATGAAATCATCAAAAGCCACTTGTCCTCTTCTTTGTCTGTCAAACTTCTGAATAAGGAGGTCATAGAATTGGTCAGAAAGTCGATAACCTTGTAAGAATTGAAAGTATTTATAAGCAAAGTATCTACAAGCCATCTGTATTATGGAATTAATTATAAGCAGTTAATGTAAATAAGCAAATAACTGTTTATCAATGCAGGACAAAACAATGCCAGTTTTAAGCTACAAGATATGCATGCACTGTTAAATGAAATAGCAGTTAAGATGTGCTATCAATAAAAATTAGGTGCACATGAAATATTAACCAATTACGAGTTTTTGACATTGAACAAATGTCCTTTGAAAGTTGTTAGGTGCCGTCTCTATTTGTGGAATGCATATTCTATTGCCTAATACGAAATACAGTAATGGAGGCATAAGGTGGGAAGGGAACCCGCATCAGCTTGTGTGCTTTCATTTAGACACAAAAGCAAGGTGCCACATGCAGTAATGCAGGTATCCTGTTGTATTCGATATTCTAATTATTTAGCAGTTCTGCCCTTTAGCAAGAGTCCTTCACACTGAGACTCACACAAAAGGTTTAGAAATAGAATCTCTATTGTTAAATGAGAAGGGAATCTAAAGATCCAGTTCATGACATTCTCACCAAAGTGAGAAAGAATGAAAGGCTGAAGATACTGTTCAGTAAACATGTTGTATTTCTAGTATTACTATTACAATGGATTAAAGGCAGCAATGCACATGTTGAAAAACTGGTTAACTTTAAAGAGAAATCCAAAATCTTAAACTGATCCATAGCCTGTTAACATGAGACATCAAGGTATGTCTAAAAATCTTTTTCAAATTAGTAATTCAATAATACAATTTTAACAGTTAAAGATGAAACAGCTAGCTAACTCTCCTTTAAAAGTAAATTATATTAGCTAAGAATCTCCCTTTGCTCTTGGTGGTGGAAGTGTATATTAAGCAGAGTTCTTCGTTGTGGCCTCTGTGCATCACACATATGGGTGCTGCGCCTGTGCAGTGCCTTTTGCAGGAAGATTACAAGCTAACGGTTTCTTTTGGCGGAAAAGCTCCCCTCCCCCTCCCCCACAGCCTATAAAGAGCGGAGCGTCCACCATTTTGTTCAGTCTTTGCAACCGCCATTCGCTGTGCCTCGTGCCACTTTCAACTATCTCTCAGACAGTTACTCGTAGCCTATTTCTGGTTCTTTTTAAGCTCCCAGTTTTATATCCCTGTTATCTCTATAGTTCTTGTTAGTTCCTGTTACTTCTATCGTACCGTTCTACCATTCTACCTTCTTCTATTAAAAAAAAAAAAAATGAAAAATATATTCTTACCCTCTGCACTGTCTGCTTTTTTCCCTCTTCTTGCAATGGTGCAGCGAGCGGCTTTCCGCAAATGCACGGAATGCGGGTCGAATATGTCTCCATCTGACCCGCATGACCTATGCCTCCCACTGCCTGGCCTTCTTCAAGCAGGCCAGGAAGAATCGGGAGAACCGCCTCCGGAGGCTCCTGTGGGATCGGGCTCTTATGCAGTCCAACCCACTCGCCGTCACTCCGAAGCCTGGCCCGGCTGCAGTGGTCCCGCCCTCACGCCCTTCAGACAAAGATGCTTCTGCCTTGAGGGCCCCACTCGCTTCTCCCAAGAAGAAACGCGAGAAGCGCAAACATGCTGACTCGGATAAATCGGCGAAGAAGGCCAGGAAGGAGAAGCCTCCTAAACCGACCCAAAAGTCAAGGTCGAAAGATCCGGAGCGGCCACGGCACCACGACTCAGGTTTGACGGCCGCATCAGTACCGGCGGCAGCTACCGTACCGACCCCACCCAAGCCGGTTCTTCAGGCAGCCATGAGGGTCATCCCTCAAGGGTCCCCTTGGTGTTTGGCGACCCCCCCACTGAGCCACTCCCACCTCTTCAGTGGGGGTCAATCTCTGATGGGGAAGTTCAAGACTCTCCCCGCCAGGGCTAGGTCACCCACACCTATGCCCACGGCCACAATGTAGGCGGATGTGGTCCGATCCCCGCCCAGGGCCCGCAGGAGTCGATTCAGGGAGCAACGATCCAAGGAATGGCATCGCTCCTATTATCCATCTTGGGGCGAACCATACTCCACCGGATACTATCCTACTCCGAGGGATCGATCACCACCACGCTCTCGTGACCGCCCACTGTTGCTGGATCCGAGGCGCACATCCCCGGGATGAAAGTAGTTGGTCCGTCTCGCTGATTGAGTCCTCTTCTTCGGCTCCTCCGTATTACGGCGCGGACTCCGACGACTCGGACATCGATTCCACCTCTCCCGATGTCGCGGTGACCTCCCAGGGCCCTGCGTCACCAGACGAGTCCCACGTCTCCTTTGCAGAGCTGATGTCCAGGCTCATCCAGTCCCTGGATATCGATGCCGTCCAGTGCCCGGGACCGTCGACGGATAAAATTTATGACGTCGTCCACGGGGAGCAGTCCACCTCGATCGTCCTGCCCTTGATCACCACCCTGAGGCAGGTGATGACGCCCTCAGGACTTGCCCTCTCACCCTCAACACACATCGCAGAGGTACAAAGCCATGTACCCTGTTTGGGAGGAGGACATCCCATTCCTCCTCCGACACCCCAAGCCGAACTCGGTCGTGGTGGAGTCCTCCCACGGTAGAGAGGCAAGAGGCCACACTGCTCCGCGAAATAAGGAGGGCCGCAAGATCGACTCCCTGGCCAGGAGGGTCTACGCAGCTTCAGGCCTGGGGCTGCGTATCGAACTACGAGGCAACATTGGCGAGATACCAGTATTTTATAATGCAACATCTCCACAACGTCGTCTCAGTCCTCCCAGACCACCAGAGTGACCTGGCCAAGCTGCTAATTAAGGAGGCGATGCACGTCACAGTGCAACAGCTGTCCACAGCCAGGCACCATGTGGACACCAATTCAAGGGCCTTGGGTGGGGCTGTCTCCCTTCGTAGACACGCATGGCTTAGGAGCACCAATTTCCCTGAAGAGACCAAGCACCGAATCAAGGAAATGCACTTTGACAGGTCCGGGCTTTTCCATTCAAAGATGGACCACAAACTCAAAAAACTTCACGAGTCCCACATGACAGCCCGACAGATGGAGCTCCAATCGCAACCAAGGCATAAGTGGGCATGGATCCGTCCGCCATACAGACAGCCCTACCATCCTAGGCAACAACCTCATCACAGGCAGCAACAGCAACGCCACCAAAAATAGCCCCAACAATGCTACCAACAAGGTCGCTGTCAATATGATGACAGGAGGCAGCGTTGACAGGACTGGTGAACCATTCCTCTAGCCTATCCCATACCCACCCCCCTCTCATCTGGGGACCGGCTGCAAAGCCGACTCCCCATTTGGGAGTCCATCACATCTGATCGGTGGGTATTGTCCATCATACAGCACGGCTATAGGATAGAATTCGACATCATTCCTCCATTGAGTCCGATCCAGTTTACATCATGCTTGCCGATACTGCTTAATGAAATACAACAACTTCTTCGTAAAGGAGCGATTCGTCAAGTAACTCAATATGACGGACTTCACGGATTCTATTCTAGACACTTTACAGTTCCCAAATGGAATGGTGGCCTATTTCCGATCTTAGACTTATGTAGTCTGAATCGATTCATCGTGACGAGGAAGTTTCGATTGACCACCCTCCAAAATATTTTGCCACTGCTAAGGAAAGAGGATTGGTTCGCCTCACTGTATCTGAAGGATGCCTGTTCCCATATTGCAATCCATCACAAATATAGGTGTTTCCTTCGCTTTGCCGTTGCCTCAAATTTCTACGAATTCATGGTCCTACCCTTCGGTTTGGCCACCGCTCTGAGAGTGTTTACTAAGTGCATGGCCCCTGTCTGCGCTTACCTATGCCTCCAGGGCATACAAGTTTATCCTTACCTCGATGACTGGCTCCTAGTTTCCAGGTCCAGGGAAGCGCTCCTCACTTCTATCCGTATTACCTGTGAATTACTGGACGATCTGGGCCTATGCATTAATACCGAGAAATCTTCTCTCCTTCCGGTACAGAAGCTTATGTTCATCAGAGCCCACTTGGATTCGACGTTGGAAAAGGCTTTCCTCCCTCGGGACAGACAACTGACTTTCGCTCACCATGTCCACTGAATGCGACGAGACAGATCGGTTCCAGTGAAGTCCATCCAGAGACTTCTAGGACATATGGCTTCCGCCGTTGCTGTGGTACCAGACGCCAGACTGCAACTTCGCCCTCTACAGCTATTTTTCAACAAAGCGTTCCACCCACAGAGAGATCCACCATCAAAACTGCTTTGAGTCCCATCCTCGGTACTCCATTCCCTACTATGGTGGTCAGTCCTGGACAAGCTGAATGTTGGGGTCCCCTTCCGGCCCCGATGCCCATCGATCACCGTCGGTACCGACGTGTCTCTTCTGGGGTGGGGAGCGGTATGCTCTGGCCTGTATACTCAGGGCACGTGGACTCAGCAAGAATCCATGAACCATATCAATTTCCTTGAGCTACTGGCCGTATTCAAAGCCCTATGCTCTTTCAAGGATGTTCTTCAGCATCGGGTCATTCAGATAACATCGGACAACATAGCCACTGTTTTTTATCTGAACAAACAAGGTGGGACGAAATCTCCGACCCTGGCCAGACTTTCTACGCAGGTCTGGGACTGGTGCACTTTGAAAGACATTACGATGATAGCAGTCCATCTGGCCGGTATGGACAATGTGGAAGCGGACCTTCTCAGCAGGCGCATGTTCATCTCTCACGAATGGGAACTAGATCCCCAGATACGCGAGGACCTTTTTCATCGCTGGGGGTTTCCCGACGTGGACTTTGCCACCCAACAGAACAAGGTGTGTGCGATTTTCTGTTTGAAAGCAGGAATCGGGTGTGAATCCCTAGGGGATGCCTTCATGATTCCATGGAACAACATGCATTTTTACGCCTTCCCACCGATTCCTCTGGTGATGAGAGTCATAGCGAAGACTGTATCCAATTGGACCACAGGGATACTAATTACTCCTTGGTGGCCACACCAACCTTGGTTTCCCACACTGCTGGACATCTCTCACAGGGAATACCTTCATCTTCCACAGCTCCCGTACCTCATAACCCAGCAGGACAGTGCACTTCGCCACCCAGATATATTATCGTTGAAACTAACAGCCTGGCAAATCCGATAGCTGACTTGGTTACGTCTATACCGACTACTTCCAAGTGATTCGAATCCTACCTTTGAATCCGCTACACTTGCAACCTTCGAATCCGCTGGAGTTGGCGCTGCTCCAGCACTGTCGGACCCGACTATTGCTCTATCGAATCCAACAACCTTTCATCTGGACATTCAATACATCTTGAACGCTGCTTTAAAACCTTCTACACGGAAGTCTTACGTAGCTAAATGGAAGCGTTTCTCCACCTTTGCCAACTCTCACTCATTCTCTCACTCATTCACCTTTGCCAACTCTCACTCATATTTACATCATCGATACATCAAATTCTTCAGTTCCTCTTAGAACGACATCACTCTGGACTGAAACCATCTTCGATTAAAGTGTATACGGTGGCGATTGCCTATCATCGTGGTATGGTGGACGGCTCGCCCATTTTTTCTCAACCTACAATTAAAAGGTTTCTGAAGGGACTATATAATCTGAACCCATCAATCAGACCAATAATGCCCACCTGGAGTCTCTCTGTTGTTCTGCAAGCGCTTATGAGAGCTCCTTTCGAACCGTTGGCGACAGTCGATTTACGTCTTGTCTCATGGAAAACAGCATTTCTAGTAGTGATCACCTCAGCCCGAAGGGCCAGTGAGCTCTGCGCTCTGCGCGTAGACCCACCTTACCTCAACTTTCATAGAGAAAAGGTTGTCCTGAGGCTCAATCCATCTTTTCTGCCTAAGGTGTCCACGCCCTTTCATATGGGACAAGATATTGTTTTGCCTGCCTTTTTTCCGGCTCCGTCTACTCCATTAGAAAGATCATTACATTCACTTGACGTTTGGCACTGTTTAGCCTTCTACAGATCCAGGACAGAATCTATTCGACGTTCAAATAGACTTTTTGTTAAATATGCTACCAGGGACCAAGGCACCCATCACTCCACAGAGACTTTCTAAGTGGATAGTCCATACCATCACCTTATCTTACCAATTGGCTAAGATTGACTTACCCACGGCCCCATGAGGCCATTCGACTAGGGCTGTTGCTACCTCATCTGCCTTCGCATCGGGAGTACTGATTGATGATGTATGTAGAGCTGCTATTTGGGTGAATCCTTGCACTTTTGCAAAGCACTATCACTTATATGTCCGTGCTCGGCAGGATTGCTCCTTCGGCAGGGCCATTCTTTCATCTGTTCTTCGTTGAGGACACCTCCCCTCCTCCATTATGGTAAGCTTGTTAATCTACCCATATGTGTGATGCACAGAAGAAAAGCAGGTTGCTTACCTGTAACTGATGTTCTTCGAGTGGCCATCTGTGCAGTCACACAACCCACCCGCCGGCCCCACTCGGTGTCGGTGAGTGGACCTTTGTCGGTACCGAATGTTATCATTATTTTCTTGGTACCAATATTGTTCATTGTTCTCTTGGTACCGATACTGTTCATGGTAGAACTCATTTTTCCCACATGGGGGCATCCGTTTGGTCCTCAAAGACTGAACAAAATGGCAGACGCTTCGCTCTTTATAGGCTGTGGGGGAGGGGGAGCAGAGCTTTCCCACCAAAAGAAACCGTTAGCTTGTCATCTTCTGGCCAAAGGTACTGTGCAAGCGCAGCATCCATATGTGTGACTGCACAGATGGCCACTCGAAGAACATCAGTTACAGGTAAACAACCTGCTTTTCTGAGGGGGGGAAAAGTGTCACAAATACCCCCCCTTTTTTTGGCAGCCCCTTGTGCCTCCTAAAAACCTACCTGTGTGCTGGAGAGTCTAAAATAATGGGAGGGCTGAGAGTGAAGAATCAGCAAAAACCACCCCCTTTTGTGCCAAAAAGGATCCTGCATTAGGTTTTGGTCTTGTTTGTGAATGGAAGAGTTAGCCACCTCCAGAACAAAACCCATAAAACAGACCCCACACTGTAATGTGGCTTTTTAAAAGGCTGCATCAGCACAAATAGCAACTACTGTGTAATGTTGCTGTGATATTTGTTTCTATCAAAAAAATGACACACAGATTTTAAAATTCCTCTACTAATTCTTAGTACAAAACCAAACACTGAACCCATCTCAGTTTCTACATAATACAGTGACAGCATACATTTATCTACCAAAACTTTAGGCACACTTAAACCTACCAATAATGAAAGGCATGTTCACTATTCACTCTGTTTTAGACTAACTATTGTACATTAGTAAGTACATTAGTTAAATGGTTAGTTGACTTCAAGAGTCCTTGAAAAAATGAGTCCTAAATACTTTCCCCATCTGTCAGGGTATTCATGAAACCAATCCCTTAAAAAAAATAATAATTAGGAAGACTCAGTAATGTGAGGCTATCCAGACCTAAATTATGTATTTTAACCACCACAACAGAATACATAAATTGTAAATGTTCTGAAGTAGTGGTTTCCCCCCTCAACAAGTTCTGAAAAAGTCAGGTCCTCAAGGTAGCATTTTCAGATGATATCCACAAAATAAATGGAAAGCCCACTTCCTCTTTTTTACCCTGGAATATTCCAGCATGTGATATGGCCCAACCTGCCAGAAGACTGGGAGATACATGCTCAAGTATAATTGCACATGAATTACCAAAACCTGTTAGTGCTTGCTTTAGTTCCTGTTTGTCAATCATTCCAGAATTATCTCTGTCATACGTGCGAAAAACATTCTGCCAGTCAGAGATGTATTTCCAGACCCCTGTGAATTCATTGAAGTTCACGCCTCCTTTGTTGTCTCTATCAAACATAGCTGAAACAAGAATCAAACAGTAGTACAGAACTGGACAACAGAAATTTTCCATTACTTTCTTGTTAAGTTTAAGTGACATGAATATACTACTGAATAGAACACCTCATAGAGTATTGCAACTTTGATTTCCTTCTGTTTTCATGCCAAGGAAAAGAAACATAGAAGTAGCTCCTACACATGAGGAAATAGGGATTCTACAGAAGTCCTAGAAAAGAGATCCATGTTGCCAACATTTGTCCTACAGGACTGAACTGCTGTGTGTCCTCACAAGTTAGCCTATTTGTTTTTCAAGGAATGCTTATTAAGAGAGTTCCTGTCATCGTATGTGGACGTTTATGTCATATGCAGGACAAACACGCAGCATGCTTCCTTACTAACAATTTAAATTGAAGTGTAACAAGTGGCATACATTTATCGCTGATCAAGAATCATCTTCTTTGTGATTCCTGTGCATCATGCATATAGGCTCTGCACCTGCAGGGGGCCTGTTGTCAGGAAGATTTTCCTTGCTAAAGTCATTTTGATAGAAGATCCTGCTGCCCTGGTATATATAGGAGGGTATCCTGCCGTTTCTCCCCAGTTCTTTCCAACCACCATTTTGGGTGCCTTGGGTCTCTTCCTAGTGTTTTCTCTTGTTGCCTCACAACTACCTTCCACCTTTATTCTATAACTAATTCAATTCACTTACTCTCCTCATTCATTTTCAAAACCCACCCTTTTTTTTTCTTAACTCCCCCCCAACCCCAACCTATCATGGACTCTTCTGAACCTATGTTTTTATCACTCTCCCTGTTGGCACTCAAGGTGTCTGTTAGAAAATGTATTCACTGTGGAAGCCATCTAGCTTCTACAATCACTCACTGCCCATGCCTCTTCTGCTTGTGGGCTGACACAGAACCCCAACTGTGGCGCCCACCATCAATATGTGGCTTCCAGAGCTCCACTGGACATTCCACTGTCCCAACCACACCTTTGTCTAGGCGCAAGGATGAGGGCGAAGAAGAAGGCACCACCTTCTGCTCCCAAGCTCGGCTAGGCCAGGGCTTAGTGGGAGATGCATTCCTTCTCCACCAGAAAAGGGCCCTGTTCTGCCTTTTACCACCATTCCCACTGATCACCAGGAAGCTGGTGAAAATTGGGAGATAAAGCACATTATGTATCCTCATCGTGCCATGGTGGCCCCAGTAGGCATAGTTTGCCCACCTCCTCTGCCCTAACCAGAATTTCATTCAGCTCCCTTCAAGACCAGACATCATTCCCAGGGGGCGGAGCTAGCCAGAATGGACCTCGGACACTAAAAAATCCACTCCTGATCATCAACAAAAACATGATGAAAATGGACGTCCACATGGTGGGCATGTCGTGAGCAGAGCCGGCTGGTGCCGGAGGTCAGACTAGATGGCCCGGGAGACCCCTTCTGACTTGCTCTGTTTCTATGTTTCTATATTCAAATCAAGATTAAGAAACACTGGACAACTGCATGAAATGTAAGTCAATTCCTTTGTTTATCTCCTGGGAGGATTTGAAACACAGACGTGGAGCAAGAGTTGTTTTTGTGAGTTGGAACTTCTGGGCCTAGCCTGGAGTAAGGATATTTTGGCTAATCACAGACTGAGAAACTGTGTATGTTATAAAAAGCACAGCCGCTTGTTGTAATAACTCAAAAAGCAGCCTGAAGAGATGGGGAGATAAGGCAGAGGTTGTTTTTCTTAAATGTTTTTTTTCCTTGATAAGAAGCGACTCCTCCCTCCCCCCGTGCAGCTGGAACGCCGAGAAAGTGCCGAAAGTATTGAAAGAGAAAGTATTTGGACAGAGGTGTAAGGAATGTAGATCAAAGTTAATTACTATCCCAGGATTAACTCTATTGTGCTATTTTTATTTTGAGAAAAAAATGTAAGAAAAATAGAAGTGAAAGTGAAAACAAAGAGATGGCCTCTGCTGGCCGAATGTCAAATTGCAGCTACTGATTTATATATTGTTTGAAAGTTCAATTGTAATTTTGGTCTGCAAATAAGAGCATCAAACTCAAGAGTTCTCTCCTCTAAGTTGGAAATAAGAAGTGTACACTGTATGCCTAAATGTAGCAAAAGTGCAGACAACGTTAGGCAGGAGCTGAAGACGGTTTGGCAAAGACCTAGAGTAAAGCAAGATTCTTCTTATAAATCTCATCCATTTGATTAGTGGCTAAAAAGAGTAGAGATGGGTGGAAAAAAGAAAACATCACTGGAAAAATCAATGATTTCATTGCTACAATTGGACAATTCTATTATACTTCTACAAGAAATAAGAGAAATGAAGACACAGGTAATGTCAGGTGTTAATGATCTGCAAGAAAAGTCAAAGAAAATAGTTATTAAAATAGACAACATGGATGGAAGAATAAAAAAATTAGCAAAACAAAACCAAGAGAATCTCCAAATAATTACAGAAGTGAAAGCACAGGTGAGAGAACAAGATAAAGAGCTAAAAAAAACAGATGACCATGATAGATCAGGTCTCTAAAAGTGTGATTGAGATCCGGGATAGACAACGAAGATCGAATTTACGCCTTAAAGGATATCCAGAGGATGTGAAAGAGAATGAAGATAAATTGATCCAACTAATATTGGATTGCGCTAAATCTATTCTTCCAGGTGTTTCCTTTAAAAGATAGGATATTGATGCAATACATAAGAGTTGGCCCAAGAAGACCGGGAAGAAAAATACCAAGAGACATTGTGGTCAGATTTTGATCATATGCAAAAAAAGAGCAATTGATGTGGAAACTATGGAACATGACAGCAATTATGTTGGAAGGTCATCAGATTCAAGTCTTTCCTGATCTGTGTAATGAGACTTTGCAATGGAGAAGAGATATGTCCCAAGTCTGAAAAATATTACAAAAGAATTCCATTAAATATAGTTGGGGTGCCCAATTTTTATGAAGTTTGCATATAATGGAAAATATTATAGAGTAGATACAAAACAGGAAGCATTGGACTTACTGAAGATGCTCAGAATTGTTATTGATGATGAATATGTAGTACAGATGTAAAAGTTAAAGGATATGTCCACATTTTGAAGAAGGAAGACAAAGGAGGAGAGAAGAGGCAGGGAAGAGAAGCTGGGCATAGCAGCAGGAAGCTCATCATTTCCATAAAGGAGGTCCAGAAGCAGAGGATATTTAGAAGAAGAATGAAAAGATAAGATCTATACATATTAGATATTGAATATATTGTATTTGTTAGTGTTGAAATTAATATTGAAATATAAGAGAAATTTGAGTATAGAATAAAAAGGTATAGATGATTGGGGAGGGTGAAATAGATGTCTGGGGTCTTTACAAGGAAGGCTCCTCTCCCCCCTCCCCTCCGCCAGAAGCCTGAGGCAGTGGGGAGGAGAACATGTCCTGATGATGGGAAGGGGGGGGGGTTCCACACACAAATGTGGGGAGGAAAAGGGTGGGGGTAGGGATATGTTCATTTGGATTCTCGTTATGGGTTTCTTGGTGTGTTTATTTTTTCACATATGGAGACCAAAAAGAACATTTAATGTATTGAAAGAATGGGAAAAACATTGAAGATTATGTCGTGGAATGTAAATGGCTTGGGAGAGAGAGATAAACGAGCCAGAATTGAAAAATTTTTATATAAAGAAAAAAAGATATTATATTTTTACATGAAACACATCAAAAGAAAGATGGGGTAAACAAACTAAAATTATATTGGGCAGGCATATATGAAAAATCATATGGTACTTCTAAGGGTGTTCCATATGAGGTGTTGCAAATATTTTTGCCAAAAGATGTGAATTTAAAATAAAAGCTATAAAAAGAGACCACTTGGGGAAATTTCTCATAATACAAGGTCTAATTTATGGACAAGAGGTGACATTAGCTAATATATATGCAACTAATACAAATCAAATGGAGTTTTATGACAAGGTATATAAAGAAATAGAAGAATTAAAAAGAGGATATTTGATAATGGTGGGTGATTATAATATGATTATGGACAAAGAAAAGGATAAATCTAACCCATCAAAGTTAGACATAAAATATAAGAATAGAGACTTAAGTAGATTTATTAATGAAAACAGATTTAAAGATGTTTGGAGAGAGTTAAATGGGAATCAGAAAAGATATACATTTTATTCAAATAGACATAAAAAATTTCACAAGAATACATTATATATTTGTAACTTCAGAAATATTGCCCAAGGTAGTTAATGTGGATGTAAAAGTAATTAAAATTATCTGATCATGCAAGCATAACAATGGAAATGGAAATAGAATGTGATTATAGACAGGCAAATAGATGGAGGATGGATTTAAGGATCTTTAAAAATGAGAAGATTTTAGTAAAAATGGAAAAAGAATTAAAAGAAATATGGGAAATAAATGAAAAAGGAGGTAGTAATACAAGTGTAATATGGGATATGATGAAAGCAGTGGTAAGAGGGCTAGGAATAAAATATTCGTATAATTTAAAAAAATGAAAAGAGCAACATATAATGAGACTACTAGAAGAAGAAATTAAAGAATTAGAAAAATATATTAAAAGTAGAGAAAACAAAATGATGTTAGAATTAACAGCAAAAAGAAAAGAAGTACAAAATATTGAAATAGAACAAGTTCAAAGAAATCCAATTTACTTGAAAAGGGAATTTTATGAAAATAGTATTAAAAATTCCAAAATGCTAGCCAGAGCCACACAAGTCAAAAAAGCAAATAATTTAATTGGAATAATAAAGAATGAAAAAGGGGAAAGATGTAATAAGGTGAAAGAAAAACTTTTAATCTTTCAAAGGTTTTTTGACAAATTATGTAAGGGAAATGTATAGATTTGAATGCAAGCCAAAAATATATAGAAGAAAATTTAAAGTGTAAAATCCGAGAAGAGGATAAAGAAATCATGGAAACTAAAATAGAAGAAGAGATATTGGCAGTTATTAATAAATTAAAAATAGGTAAAGCACCAGGATCTGATGGATTGGGTGCTGAATAGTATAAAATTTTTAAA